GCGTACATATAAATACACATATAATAATGTAGGTATCAATTGGTGTACTCATCTGTATCTCAACAATGGCGTTGCCACCAATACTTATGTATGTATGTTTGTGTGTGTGTGTGTATGCATGTACAGAAGTTCATAGCGACCTACAGGCAAGCAAACATCACATTCTCGTGTTGTGCTTGTTTGTACGCGGAGACTGCATTAAAGTGTCCAGATGCGGCTTTTATGTCATTTCGGGTAAGAACGGAAACACTGGCCAGGTTGGATGTGGGAACGAGAAAAGAAGGACTCCGCTCCTTCCACCGCTGCGTAACGTGGGATTGCCTCTTATCCTCATCATCAACTTCCTACTTTTAGCAATTATATGTCAGGCCTAGCCTTTGGTCGGTTATTTCTTCGTCTCTTAGGTTTCATTAACTGTTTCGAAGGCCTTTGATGAAATTTAGAAATTTTCGGGATCTCGATATTCTTGTGCAAAAATCGAACCGCCCCCTCTAACTTGCTTGGTTATGTGAAGCCTTCTGCAAAAGGTGTATGGTTGCCCAAAAAAGTGTTCGTCCCATGTGCGAAATGGTTGTCAAAGCTCCTGCTGGAGTGAACCAAAAGAGGTGGCAGGTTCATCCAGTCTGGGGGTCAGAGTTTATATGAACCAGTCTTCCTTCATTTTGGAAGAGAATTCGTGAAGTGGTCTCACCGGAAACTGAAGCGGAGGAAAGATTGTCCGATTGTGTGAAGCAGTCCTCGACTGCGTGTCCCGCCAACCTGATTAGTCTGAAGTGACAGACATCGTCCGAGCAAGAAGACAAACTTTACCCCAAAAGCGCACCAATCTACTAAAAACACATGAGCAGATGAGACTAATTCACGAACTCCTGACAACCAACTTTTCCCATGAATCAAAAAGTCGAATCACACCAGCTCGCCAAGGGATTAGCTCGTGGCTAGAAAGGCCAAGAGGTTATATGACCCTAGCTTGGGTCACAGTGACTCTGACCTCTCAACCAGATAAGCATGCTACCTATCTTGGTTCACTCCAGCAAGGCTCAGCTCGACCTCTGATTTGATTAGAACTCTTGACAACCATTTCCCACATGCGACGAACGATTTTTTCGCGTGGAACCTTTAGAAGACGGTTTCGGGCAATTGCACAAACTGAAATGAAATGTCTAAATTGCATTGACCTTGTGGGTCTAATTAGTCCTGCTTTCACTGTCATGGCACACATGATAAGTTCCAACATCGGACAGTTGGCTTGGTACATTCGCCCACCCTTCGCCGGCATCACAGTCGGCATCGTCACTGGGAGTCGCTATCCTCAGTGAAATGTTACAACTTCTCAACGTCATTGTGGATCGTGGTGAAATCGGCAGAGAGCTGGCATCTGAACAAGGGAGTTAGGCGAATCATTTCGATCTGGGATCTGAGATTTCTCAACCGGCGCTCGTGAGCCAGTTCAGGGTTCGAGCTGCAGTCGTTCTGGGTCGCATAGGATTACACTTGCCCACAACGTTGTCATTGAAGTTCACACAGCCTTGCTTTCCAAAAGACATTCTCATTCCGACTGAACTGTACTGCAGTTTTGATCTCGCCACAACATGCCTTGTCAACCCCCCAGCGGGATTCGAACTCGCCTAGGACAGCCTCTCCCATATCACATTTTTTGAGTGGAATTGTGGATAAAGCAAACATCCATTTACTGCAACAGTCGAACAAATTACTTATATTCGTATTGAGTAGGCTTTGAAACTAGCCGCGGATATTGCGGCTGCCCCAATTGGGGGTGAGATCGACATACGAATACCTTCTTCATAAAACTTCATACAAAATAAAGCCTCCACAACCCTGTTATCTCAGGAGATAACTCGAAACCCAGTTACTCTTCGTAGCTAGAAGAATATATATTAACATATTACTTTTACGTAATACTGATCAGTACTACTATAATTAGTTTTGTCTACACGATAATGTGTGATGATCTATAATATATAAACTCTTAGTCTTATATGTATGTGAGCAACCAGAAGAGACTAGTTTTAATAGGCAGCTGGTGGCAACTCTGTGTTTCCCCAAAATTGGCTGCAAGAGTTTATGACAGCGGATCAGGCAATCGGCTAAGACAGATCCTCGCGTGAGTGGAGTCAGAGAGCATTCGAGGGCAATGGGCAAAGTCTTCTTCCATTTCCGGTATCATCAGACTTTCACATGATCAGTAAGATCGGAATAAGAAGTCATAAGGTGATGACTAAGTTGCAAAATGAAGTAAATCCATTTATATCGGTATTTATAATCATGTTAACACAAATACCACTTGTAAACATCATTCATCCAAACTCTTCGTTTGTGTCTCTGCATGATCAGATCTCGCCAAGACACCGAGTCTCTATTTTGGTTACAGCCTACTTTTGATGCATGGAAGTAGTCTGACACAGTTTTCGCAATTTGGTCGTGCTGTCAGGGCGACCAGGGACAGTGGAATCCTACGGTATACTCAGATCATGGCGGGAAAATTCGACAACGAGTACTTCATCACCTTAAACGAAATAGGGTGAATAAATCCCCGTTTTCTCTTAATCATTGCATTTCTATATTGTTCGTCTAACCAATATTCCGTTTTCTATGCAGGCTTCGAGACTACCAGTAGAGCGTATGAAAGATAGATGATGAAAGATAGACAAATGGATTTTTCCACATTTATATGAATAGTCCTCACGTTTCCATTGAATTTCACATAGCCTTGCCTTTTAGAATGCAAGAAGCTATGAAATTTAATAGCAATGAGAGGCCTCGTCATAATCATTACCCTAACTTAAATAAAACGACTACAATTCCAACTTCACTATCTGTCCTTAACTAACCAGGAATGATCCATATTAATTTTTTCTTATCATCATTAAATAAACATTTAAGAAATAATATTTTTCCTCCATCTAATCGTCATGCCCAATTTGGTAGTGCCGCTGAGGCGAAGAGACGGAGAGGGCAGAAGTGGGAATATGCGGAACTCCTGGTCACCCTTCCACTACTAACATGTAGAATTTTGGCTCTAGTACAAATTGCACGTTCGTTTGCTATCGCTCTGATTGTGGGTGAAGGGTCTCTTGAAGTCTTGAGATGGCAACCATTCATATCTTTAGTCTTTTCTGAAGGGATCCTCTGGGGTTGGCTAAGGCCGTCCTTCTATAAGCACCCTTTCAGCCGTTCCAAACACTGTTGACCCCTCGGCAATGTTTGCCAATCCTCTACTGCTCCAATGGCACACGCTGCTTCTGCCCAATTCGACCAAACACGCAAATATGAATCGAATTCGTCAATGTGACAAAATTTCCATTGTATACGAAGAAAAGTTGGGTTTCGAGGAATCTCTTGTTTCATAATTGTTGAGCTCACTTCCATTTCGAGTGGAAGTGTTGCGTGAAAAGATTCGAAGGTCGGTTCCACCAGAAGACGACGGCGAATTCCTCTTGACCAGCTGTCGATTGGC